AAATACTATATAATATATATAGTTTACATTCACATATTAAATGCAAAGTTCTAGACACTACTCTGAGTAAGGGATAGAAGGTCGGGTTTATGCAGAGGATTAAAAACATATTTATGCTCAGGTTAAGTTTAGAGATGGTTTGGTAAAAATGTGATGTGATAAAGGTGAGCGTGATGTATCTATATGGTTTCATTTTATAATCAAGTTAATTTGGACAATAGTCACTGTCATGTCTCTGTTTTTTTAATCTTTTGTGAAAAATCTGGCAGGAGTGAGTTTGGTTATTAGTAAGTATAAAAATTAAATTATTGATATTAGTAAAATTGTTAATATCAATAGGATTATTAACATAGATTAATAATAACATATAGAAGAAAGAAAATAAGAAACACGCTGATCACAAGCGATCTCAAGTAAGCGGCTATTGTCTGGGCAGAGATATCATAGTGTGTTTTTTGTCTTGTTTGTTTGTTTAAGTTTAACGTTACTGTTACCGTGTTAGTGTGTATTTTTTAGACCGCCGAGTCTTGTTTAGTGCTGAGTAACATAACTGTTTTGCTTGTTGCCGCTATGATAGTGTTGTTTCACACTGCTGAGCCTTGTTGTGTTTAAATCCGCCACAGCGAGTAAAGTTGGTGAACTATACTTAATTAGTTAAAGGTCCAGTGCTGCGGCTGCTGAGGTTGAGTTCTCCAGTAGGGCTCCTGAGTGGTAAAGTTACAGTTATTGTAGGCTACTTTACTGCTGCGGTGAGGATCTACTTTACTTTGAGTGCTTTACTCTTCTTTTCCTACTAACCCACACACACGTACATACACGCACACACACATACGCCGTTATACTCATTTATACACACATTGTTTGTTAAATGCTGCCTCCATTGTGAGTCTCATTCCCCCTTTAAATAATCGCGGCGGATTGTGAAATCTTGCGTTACAATACCACTCACGTCCGCCATCTTGCTCTCTCCTTCTCTCTCTCTCCCCCTCCTACATACACACACACACACACTCCTCGCCACATGCTTATTTGTTGCTTTTAGGTAGTATGCTTGTATACAATGCTTGTATACAACGTAAAAACCTTAACGGGGAGAAAAGAGGAAGAGACCTTAGGGAGAGCAACAGAGGAGGAATCCTCTATCAGGATGGACAGAAGTGTGATAGATGTCTTGTGTACAGAATGAACAACATAACAGAGTTACTTTAACATCTGGAGCTATCCTAAGGTATAAATAGTTAATAAAGCAACATGTTTAATCCAGATTACACAACATTTCAAATGTGTTTCTGGTGTGTTTTAGGTTTACATAAACAATATTTACAAAACAAGAAAATATTTTCTTTCCAGAGAATAAGTGTCATGAATACAAATTTTGTGTTAATCTCACATCATTATGCTTGCACTGTGGTTCAAGTGTTGTGTGCTGGAAAAATTTGAGTTGAACTTCCCTTTTCTTAAAGGATTGGTTTTGGACTGTTAAACTGGGATATTCATGTTTTTGAAGACTGATATTGGTCTAATACGTGTTTACAACACATTGTAACGTTTCATGTCTTGTTGCGCTGCCTTCCTCCTGACAGCCATAGCTGCAGTATCACAGGCCCAGACTGACTGCTCTCGGGGGGCTTGTTACCCACCCAGCAATGACCTGCTGTTGGGCAGAGCTCATCAGCTCCATGCCTCCTCAACCTGCGGCCTCACAGGCTCCGAGGTCTACTGCACCCCGTACCAACAGGTAGGAGCACAGTCCTGTGTTTAAACCACATTTCATCTCCTCGGATCAAAGGAGTCTTGTGTTGCACTTTTGCACTAAATTAGTATCAATCTCTAAAATGCCACTGTGATCAAGTCTTACTATGCAGTATTATAAGCTGGTTAGAATATTGATCGAAAATATTAGTTATTGGCTTTATAAAAGCCCGTGCCAGTGTTAGGGTTTGAACAAAGAGAAAGACCGGCCCTCCCCATGTGCTGTGTCGTCCTTCGGCAAGGCAAGGCCAAAAAGACAGCTGGTGCAGGTTATAATCAACTCAAAAGATATTTAATAACTACAGAAGCTAAACTGTTGCAAACTGAACACACTATTAATATTAGCTACACGCTCGTCTTAACTTTGTTTAGACTACCAAATTAACATCACTTACTAGTGTTCGTGTTCAGTTTGTAACTGTCTTCCCATACCGTCTTGATTAACCTCAAATTTAAGGAGAATGCACTTTTCCAGCTTCAGGTTACTTTGCGGTCTCTCCCTATGCCCGGATGAGGCCTTCAGGGTCCACGCGGGCCGTAGGTACTTTCGGCTAAGGTTCCTATAGTCTACCTAAACAGATTTTTATTAAAACGGCTCTGCTCACCTTTTGTTTGTGTACACTCCGAAAGTATCCGCGGTTCCACGTCCCTGTTAGCCGTCTCAGAGTTCATCAAGGCCCTTGTGGTTTGCCAAATTTAGTTAGGGCCGAACTTTTGAACACAGAGAGAAATCGCCCCCCTCCCTGCAGCCATGTGCTCGCAATCGCCTCCAAAACACAACAGCAGGTTTAAGTCATAATCAAATGGATTTATTATCCATACAAACATAAAAACAGTCACAAACCGAATCACACTATTAATAACAAAACAAACATATATACTGTATATAATGAAAGTGAGGCCCCATCCGGGCCACACGACAGACAGTTGTGTCTGCCCCATGGTCAGGAGGAGGTCTGAGGATCTCCTGCAATTCCAAGATCCTTTGTCCCTCCAAAGTTACATCTCTCAGCTCATCGATTGGCTGAAGTCCAACAAGCCCCTCCTTGACTCTTGACCTGTTGACACCTCTAACACCTCACGCAGCCACTTTCGCCCATCCCCTGCTCTCAGCACATTCCTTAAACCCCTTCTCTTACAGACACTGTATGAAATGACCACTCCTTGGTTTAAGACCTTTACAAGTAAATATATTGTATCACATAATATCCATAATTAGGAGCGCTTTAAAACTTAAATTCCTCACACCAGTCAAACCAGAGCATATGCACGGCCACTGTGTTCTCTCTGGCCACGCATGGGTCTCTACGTGAGGTTTGCTCTGTCGGGAGGCGAGCAGTGCAGGGGTCATGGTGAGCAGACAGACAGGATGAAAGCTGTGGTGTTTTTTTTTGCCAAACTGCCCACAGTCCATTTGTGAAAGAGTCTCATTTCAGTGCCAGAGTATCATGTTGCAACTGTACTCTTTGACCGACCGTCTGAATAAGCACTTACCAGCCCATCTGCTGGCTCAGCACAAACAGCTCATTACTGAATTCAAACGCTGATTTTGTAATAAGAGAGACAACCAGTGAGCAAGAGTCAAGCTTGCTATGTTGCAATTTTAAATTTTTGCTCAGATGGAGAAAAGCAGGGCAATTGTGAGATAAAATCCTTTGTTTACATACAGGAAGTTTTTCTTTAGTAAAGGTATAATGCTAAAGTTTGATGTTTAAATGTGATATTGTGTATAAAGAGATGTTCTGAAAGACATTTTATAGGTGCAGTATTTTAGATTTGTAGTAGTGCAACTATAATAAGAATAGTGGAGGGTAAAGTACAATATTTCCTCAGAAATGCAGTGGAGGAAGTCACTTAGTGACTAAGTAAAAGTTACCTCAACGTTCAGTGATTTTCATTCTGATCTTCACTAATCTAAACCTAAAAAGACAACGAAGCTCAGAAAGACTAATGTTTGTGTTGGTGTTCCATAACCTTCATACCTTTCAGAGTATGTGTTGAATCTGCCTCAGGGAATGGATAGCTGTGTTAGGCGTGAACTCTCTCATTGATCAACATTCCCTTTTGTTTTTTTTAATACCTGAGCCGCACCTCGTCCAGACTGGGAGGGGCAAGAACCCTCAGCTGTATCTCAGATCTGACCTAAACACATGCATGCATGACTGCCTCTAAAGGCTAACAATGATGAAGATCACTGCCATCATAGAAAACCAGTCAGATCTTGTTGTCTATGCGTCACCATGGCTGCAAGTACCAGATTTTGTAATGAATAATGTGTAATAACGATTTGGTGTGGTGGGACATCATCTCTGAGACTGACTCATCAGGTCTCCCATTTATGTGATGATAGATTTTAGTATGTTCAGCAGCAAAAATGAACTGCAGTCAACGAGCCGCTGTGGACCACATGCATTCTGCTGAGCTCTGAAGCCCCCGCTACTGCACAGAGCGCTATCGCTTCTTTATAAAGTGCTGCAGGGATGACGTATTTTTGTAGGCCAACCTGGAAGTAAGCATCTCACTTGTTCACTCAACAAAAAGACAATGTTTTTTTTGGTTTACTGCAGAAAACTCTACATTTTACACCACGGTCACATTTTCTAGTGAAGACTTTTATCCACGTGTTAGCGACTGCCTTTTTTAAGACACGTAAAAGCTTCTAAATTCATCAGAGGGATATTTACTGATGTATTATATTTCGCAGAACAAAACGTTAAAATCTCTTCAGCAAGACCTTATTTCAGACATCTAAAAACACATTGACTTCAAGTCGAGGGAACAAAGTTTCCTCAGCTTATTTTAAATGAAAATTTGTTATACTATATACCATAACTATCCTGGCAGTTCAGGTGTTTTTGACATCAATCGTGAAACACATACAAACTAAATATTCTTTATGCTATTAATTTCAGATACTGATAATATGACCATGCACCTTTACCTGTAACCGACATAAATGATGTCATCCCAGTTGTCTTTTCATTAGGGTTGGGTACCGAAAAGCGGTGCCAATATGGCACCGGTTCCTATAAGTCTGGTATCTACCGGACCGAAATTCAACGCAGATTTCGGTGCTTCTTTTCGGTGCCTGAGCCGATTGAAATACTTTTTTGACACTACTCTGATGACTCCGTCCTGGCAGCAGGTCACGATAGCCTCGGTCCTCCGCTCTTCACTCATAGTATTATTACAACGGGGTACTTAGTGCTGCCTCTCAAAAGCACAGCATCCACAGGCACGCGAAAGCTTCTTCTTCTTCTTCTTTGAGGTGTAGTGGCGGTTGGCAAACGACGAATTGGCGCATTACCGCTACCAACTGGTAAAATAAAATAAGTCATGAGACTGTCGTATTTTGCCAGAGAAGGCAAATATGCTCATATTTCTGCAAAATAATTGCTGAAGTTTGAAGCTGTAGTGTGTGTACAGAGTGTGTGTGTGTGTTTTGTATTTATTTATATTTATTTAAGTATACTGTAAACTGTTAACAGTTAATATATTGTTCATAGTTTGAAGTTAAAAAATTTGAAGCTGTAGTTTGAAGCCAAGTGTTTTGTATTTATTTATATTTATAGTATACTTTAAACAGTTAATATATTGTTCAATTTGAAGAAAAAAGTATCGGTTCAGGCACCGTTTAGGCACCGGTATCGTTTTAAAAGTATCGTTTTAGCACCGGTATCGGAAAAAACCCAAACAATACCCATCCCTACTTTTCATACAGTAGTTAACATGAAGTAGTGCCGTTACTAATGTAACTGCATATGCAAAATGTAACCTTGGTGCCAGTACAGACACAGATTTAGTTAAACTCATCATATAATCATGTCCGCTGTAGACTTTAAACCATAACTAACAACCAATCATCTGGCAGCGAGCGTGTGTTGGCACACTACAGAGCCAAAATACACAAATCCTGTGAAAAAAACAACAACAAGTTGACACACTTTTAACCGAGTTAAGAAGAACCTCCCTGTCATGTTTAAGCGGGGTATCTCAGGTGAAGAGGTGTTAAACATGAATTGGGTACATCTGAGTCTTTGAGAGGGTGAAGTTCTTATAACCTGAGATTAGATAAGGTTCACCGGTTTGCAACGATAAGAGATTCACACATTTTAAATTGAATGCATTTAAGTTGAAGGGAGCTAGTGAGGTCACTGAACGGTGCCCATCCAGAGAATGACAGTTATTATATAATGTAACTGGGGTACATTGAGGCTGCTATGTGTAGGTAATGGGGGGATAATGTTTATCTGACTGACATGTTGGTGAAGAGACAAGGTGATGATAACTCAAAGAAAAAGTTTCTTTTTTGAACCATTTATTCAGAGCAAAGTGTGTTCGACACATGTCAGCAGCATTCTGCTACACGTTGATGTAAAAAGAAGACAATCACTCCTTACACTCTATCATTTTAGGAAATGCTTTTGCTTCCCATCAATTTGATATCAGTTTGCTAATTGTGCATCCGGTTAGTTTACCCTAGCTTAGCACAAAGGGAAAAATGATAGCTGGTTTTACGCAAAGGAGGAAAAAAACGGCTTTCATATTTACATGTACTATGTAAGGGATAATCCATTAAAGGCAAACAATAACACACAACATAAAGGTGAATTGATTAATTGATGATTCCGTTAATTCTCATAAATTTAGTCATATTTGGAAGCACTGCTTGTTTAATGTTATTTTTGTCATACCTCCTAAAAGTAGGAGAAGCTACCAGCTGAAATCTGACACCTCCAGGTTATCAGATCATGATCTGATGGCTTGATGGCTTGATGGCTTTAAAGCGATAAAATGGAAGGCTTTCATGATGTAAATGAGAACGTCTCATTTACATCATGAAAGCCTTCCATTTTATCACTTTAAAGCCATCAATAGCACCACAGAATTCCTCAGTCCCGTATAATGATTTTCATTTAAAAAAGTTCAACTTTACTTTAATTGTCACATACATACATACATACAGTTTTACCTCTGCATTTAACTCATAAGCATAAGGAGCAGTGCAGCCCGGGGAACAACTTGTGGTTCAGTGTCTCTGTCAAGGACACTTGGGCTGAGCTTTTGCAGTGTTATATAGTCTTTTAGCCAAGACCTGATCTCTGCCTTGTCCTCAGTGGAAAACAAATCTGAGCAACTTTTATCGTAAATTAGTTTCCTTATGCGGGGGAGTGAGTCGAGACACGTAGCTGGAGTGGAAAACATTAGTGAGGCCTTCATGTTGTAACAATCAGCAAACCAGAGGGAACTTTTCCCTACAGGGAGAGCAGCCATGCCCAGAGTACCCAGAACGGAGGAGGGGCTACTGGATATTGACTGGAGAAAGCTGTCAGTGATGAGAGCACTCTGTCGGGAATTATTCATGTACATACCTTCCCAAACATACTGGGTGTCTTCATAAACAGCACTTGGCTCATTAGAGTGGGAAAATATTATCTGCACTCTTTTATTTTATCAAATACATTGACGAAGTTTGTGTGTTTGTACATGCACAGCTGCTTTGACTGACTCAGGGTAGACAATACATCACCTAAAACATTCTTTTGGATGAATTCTGATGATTATTTCTTTAAAGCTGTGTTAGACGTCTACAATTGTTAATTAATTGTGTTGGTGCAAAGAGTCTGTTTGTATTTCACAATTAATTAGTTTTACCTGTGTTCAAAAGTCAAGTTCCACAGGTGTCATGAAATTTCATGTGTACAAAACGAGCAGCACTTCCTGTTCCTTCCTTAACTGAAACTAGGGCAAAGTGTCCATGTTGTTGACCAGCGGAATCAAAGCGTTCTTTAGCACAATGTAAAGCTGCCAGTTATCTGAGCCTCATTGATTTTGTGTGTGACCTGCTCAGTGACACAGCTTATCAAACTGGCACAGCAGGGAAGAAAAGAGACTAGATTTGAAAGTTGGTCTTTGGTCCTTCGATCAGCTTCAGGACAAACAGTAGTGACACGCACAGTGACACATTTACTCACATGCACACACCACATGCTACAATGTAACTCTGCAGGAAAGACCATTGTTACTAATTTGTTTGCTTTTTGTTCCTTAGAGTAGGATGAAGTGTTGTCCATGTGACTCCAGGAACCCAAACAGTCAGCTGGCCCACACTGTGCGGGACGCCCTGTCCACCTCTGGACCAGATAGATGGTGGCAGTCCAGGAAAGGTGGGCAAAGAATGAAAGAAAGAGAATGCTTTTCTATTGGCAGGAGTGAAATGATATATTTCAAAGTATACCTTGTTTTATAGATATAGATTTAGTTATCAGAGCCCTTTCCATTTTTGTCTTCGTATACTCTGAGCTGTCCTCATCAGAGGACCCTGCTCACTCTAAACTGGGCTGAAGTGTCCTCTTGCAGCTATTCATCCGGGGCCAACACTGTTTGGTAGAGGTACTGCCAAATGGTTTAATTAAAGTAATATGAAGTAAATTTAATTTCACCCAGTGAAACAGAATATTTCAGCAGTGTAGTAAGAATTGGGATTTAAATCAAATCCTTTGCATTCGATTGGACCAAGAAAAAGTGCGCGGGTTTAGAATGTAGCTACAGACGACTTTGGCTCAACATACACCTCTGTTGTTTCTAAAAGTTACAGATTGATTGATGGATGTCATGATATTATTGGTTGAAATTGGTTGGTCCTAGATATAAAGATACAAGAAAATGTGCCTATATTGTTAATCGGTGCACAATATGACGATGTGATGTCATCTAAAAGAGTTTAAAGAGTATATTTTTGGGGGTAATTTACAAAGCTAGTTATTTTGATATCTAAATGTGCGCAAGAATTCATATAAATACATTAAAAACTGTTAATTCAAACAAAGCATAATTTCAAAGACCTCTTAGGTTTGCATATCACCACGCCAATCACCACTCATCATCAGGTAGAGACAAACCCTCAGATGTCTAAATGGATTTGTTTTTGAAAAAGTGATGTTGGAGACAACCCTGCTCCTCTAAATCATGTGGTGAGGAAATATGACCCTGAATACATTCAATCTCGCTTCATAATGTAAGGCAGTGATGGGCGAGGGTATAGGCAGAATATTTATTGCGGTCATTACAGATAGCCAGACAGCTTTGCAGGAAACAAAAAAACATAAAATGAATGTGAAAAATAATCTCATTTCAATTCATCTGTCATGTGAATGCCGTTCTGCTTGTTTGTCCTGTAGAGGTGAACCCAGTCTCTCTCCAGTTGGACATGGACAACCTGTTCCAGCTTGACAACCTGGTGCTCAGCTTCAAGGTAGGACACAGTCTGCAATCACTGCTGGATCACATGAACAGCCACAGTCTGGTCACTTGTATCATTTCTGTTTTGATGCATCTACTTTTTTAAAAATCATTATTTTACAGTTGATGAAGCACATCTCAGTACAAACAGAGCATTTGTGTTTTCACTGTGCAGGGTCCTCGTCCTAGTGCCTTTGTCATAGAGAGGACTCTGGATAATGGCCGGTCGTGGCAGCCCGCCCTCTACTTGGCTACTGACTGTCAAAGAACTTTTCCTGGCATCTCCACAACAACACCGCTAACCCTGGATGACACATACTGCTACACACTGCCCCCTACTGGAGCAGACCCCTACCAAGATCACATAGTAAGCACTAATGGTCTGCTGTCAGAAAACAACTGCTTTACCTTTTTTCAGTCAATGATTATTGTTTGAAACCTTTATGAAGTAATATCTACATGACAAACACTATCACTGCTTCACTGCTAATACTGTTAAAATTGTGTTAAAATTAGTGCTGGGCAAGTTAACGTGTTATTATCGCGTTAACGCATTCATTAATTAACGCCGACGATTATATTATCGCGCGTTAACACAGTTTTATTTTTTTATTATTAAGCGGACATTTTTAACACAAAAACCGGGCAGCGAGCGGTGAACAGCTGTATTTGTGTGGCGTCACTTCCTTCTGATGCCGCTCTCCCCCCACCGGGTGACACGCCCGGTCTGGAACCCCCCTTCACTCCGTCACCGTGGGTCCCTCCTGTCTCTCTCTCACACACACACGCACGCGTGATTGTCTCATTACAGGATCAAACGTGACAATATCAAAATACATATTGTCGTGTTTTTAAATACGACAATATTTTAAAATACGACGTGAGAAGAAACTGCTCTTAACTGCAACTCTTTATTAGCATAACTTCCTCATGCAGGTTACTGCCACTGTACAGACTACAGGTTCTCTTGCTTCACCTACATTCCCCTGGGTCCTAAGTCCCTCCAGGTACAGCTTCTTATCACTCTCTATGTACCAAATAATGTAACAAATACCACACATATTACGGTAATCAGCATTGCCTATGTGTCTGACCAAAATACTTAAAAAACCAAAAAAGAAATGATTCATTTAAATTATTTTTTTTAATAGAGTTTTTAAAGTGTTTTGTTTGTAATATGTATATATCATATCATTTAGTTATCACTACTGAGAATTTAACAAACATAAAAACATGATGTAGATAGGTTTGCAGTTTTCAAGGTGTATATTTCAAATTGCATCTCTTACACACATGAAGATAAAGTTGTGAACACCGGCTGAATATCTATTATCAGAATCATTATATTGTAGATACATTTATTTAGCTGAATTTCAGGAGCAGGACCACGCCTCAGCCACTCGCCCACTTCCAGCCACACTCTTACAAATACCTTCCCACTCTAAGCCTCAGCTGGCTCGTGCTTTCTGCATCCCACCCTCCCTCCCTCTTGTTAAACCATTCCACCCAAGGTTATCTCACCCCATAGTCATCATCCTCCTATCCCACATGGAGACCGGGGGATCTGCAAGGCCCGGGAGCCGCAGTGGGTCCTCAGCTAAATCTCCATCAACCATTCCTCAACACTCCAAATAATCTACGAAGTTTTGCCCTCGGCTGAGGCGGGGTCCTAAACTAGTGAAACTGTATTATAACTGCTACTGTGTAAAGGGAATACTGCTGTTAAAAATAACCTTATTTGTTTAAAGTGTTTGCAAACCAAATGTTATTGCACTTTTGTTCATATAGCAGTACTTTTAAAATAAAAGTGCGCAATACACTACTTTTGAATTCATTATTGAACTTTGTGCATAACAATGCGATTAATTGCGACTAAAAATTGTAATCGTTGCCCAGCACTAGTTAAAATTAGTCTTTTTTTGCTGCTTGTGGGCATACATTTAATTTTAGGCTACACTGTCCTCTAAAAAACTATCTAATTATTTTAAGTAATAATCAATACAACAATTAATCTTTTCTTTTCAACTATAGTTTTGTCATCAAATCTTTTGTTGGATACTTTAGATGTCATTTTGACCTAATATATACTGAATAATTTGCATATCATTTTTTTCTAAAACCTGGGTTTTATTTTTTTCAGTTTTCTAATTTAAAAAGTATAAATGCTCTATATTTAATTCACGATGAACATAATGTATCACTTTGAAGACAGACATAATGTATAGTACAGATAACACACACACAACACATAACACACATGACAGTTTGAACCTCTGAGTGAGAATGCATCAACAAAGAGGTTTGGGGAAATAAAAGATTGCAGTGCTATGCAGGTAAGAGCAAAACATTCTGTGGTGGAGAAAACTGATTTATATACAGTATAACATTGTGTATATTTTTCCTCTCCAGATCCAATTCAGTCCTCTGCGTCAGTATGCTTATGTCCCAGCTACCAAAAGCCAAAAAATAGAGGGTAAGTCTCTGTCCATCATAAATGACTTCATCCGGTTAAAGGTAGGCCGCTGACTGACAACTGTCTCACCCACAGATGCGTCTGCGTTAACGGGGCTGAGGGTGAGGTTCACCGAACTGGGAGATGTGCCACGTCCTCCAGGCAGAGCTCTCAGTAGGTTTTACGCCCTGAAGGAGATGAGGGTGATGGGCAGCTGTATGTGCCACGGACACGCCAACCGATGCCTGCCCGACACCAACAACAACCTGCCGTCAGACAGCATACAGGTATGTGTGCAGGTGTTGGGGGGGGGCAGTTGTGGAGTAGTTGATAGATGTTTTGCTTTATACAACTAGTTGTTTCATGCTGCTTCCAGTTTATATCCTAAACTAGGCGTAACCCATCCTGGACCTACAGCGTACTCTGTATTGGACTCAGATATGAGACAGTTATTGGTCTTAGTATTGGAGTCTTGTTGCAAACAAAAGGACTTTCCAAAATGTCAGTTGCCAGTTGGTACAATGATGGATCTAGGCAAAACTGTCCACAAATCTATTTGTCTATCTATTTATCTATTATCTATACTGGTCTACCAGGACATTATTGATCTTCATGCATGCTCAAATTCAGAATCGAAGAAAATAAATTCAGCAGAGAACTCTTCAATAGGGTTGCATGAGAGAGGCAGTACATATATAGAAATGCTGGTTAGTTTCATTGGCTCTAGGCGTGCATGTGAGTGTGAATGGTTGTCTGTCTCTATGTGTCAGCCCTGTGATGAAACCTCACCTCTAAACCAATATCATATTGAAACATTTGTTTGCCGTTTGAACCAAATTTCCTTCCAAACCTCACTTGAAAATGCTTGCTGGGATAGCTCGGTGATGTGATACCAGCATGTGAATCAGCTGACCTTTGATCAAACATCTCTTTATGAGCCTCTGTTCTGTGTGTCTGTGCAGGTTCACCCTCAGTGTGACTGCCAGCACAACACAGCAGGTGTGAACTGTGAGCGCTGTGCTGACCTCTTCGTGGATCTGCCCTGGAGACCTGCGGAGGAGGGCAACACCCATACCTGCAAACGTAAGACTTCACCCACACCCGTTAAAGATCTCTCTAAACAACGGTGATCAGCATTATGTCATGGTACTCCACAGACTGTAGAAAAAACATGGAGGTAGCGTCTGTCAGACAAACTATCTAATGCCACTCCAATTTTCCCCATCGTCAAAATAAATAATATAAGTGGTCTATTATATATTGTCTGGCAACACTTACTTTTTTTATAAGACACCTGTGCACACACATACAATGAAATTGAGTAGTCAAATGTTAAAAAAATGCAGATATCCCTGACTGTTTTGGAGCCTCCATTGTGGCAGAGATTCACAATAGACACGTTTCCCAAATTTACCAACAATATTGGCAATCTGATTTATTAGTAAAAAATATATAGTGAAAGCAATGTTTGATTGTTTTTTATATGTAAAATGTCCTTGGGATAATTGAAAGAAAGTCACTTTAAGTCAAATGTGTGAATTGATTTAAATCATGACCCATGCCCCCTCCTCAGGCTGTGAGTGTAACAACCATGCCCAGCGCTGCCGTTTTGACCAGGCGGTGTATGAGGCCAGTGGGCGGATGAGTGGAGGTGTGTGTGAGGGCTGCATGGACCACACCACAGGGCCAAAGTGTGACAAGTGTGCCCCGGGCTACCAGCCAAACCCCCGCAGCCAAATGGGCCGCCCCGACGCCTGCATACGTAAGTGGTTCATCTGAAGTTGGGTCCATTAAAAATCTAACTGTGGCATGCAAGGTGGAACTTCAAAAAAGTACAGGGTATTTTGATGTAGATACAATCTTTGATGGATATTTGTGTTGGTGCCAGGCTGTGTCTGCAGCGCTGAGGGGACGGTGAATGGGGGCCGGTGTGACGATAGCACAGGCTCCTGTCTGTGTAAAGTGAATGTTGAAGGTCCCCGCTGTGACCGCTGTAAGAGAGGCTACTACGACCTGAGCCCCTCCAACCCTCTGGGCTGCTCCAGTGAGTCATCTAACACCTTCATCACATCTCACTTTGGAAGACCAAAGATTTCAGTTTTTGCTGATCAAGCTAAACTATTACATCTTAGCTTGATCAGGGAAATGTGTTCCCCACATGCTCCTAGATGTTAAATACATACACCAGTACCTCGGGGCATGTAGGTCACTGATCCTTCTATGGTGAAAGTGAACTGAGCAAAATTTCATATTAAAGTTGATCTTTATGTGCTTTTGAAGATTGGTTTTGATGTTTGTAAAGGAACAGTGTGTAGCATTTGTGGGCTTTATTGGCAAAAATGTTATCTCTGTCTTCTTTATGGTATAATCACCTGAAAATAAGAATCGTTGTGTTAAACATACAGAGCAGGTCTTCTTCACAGAGTCCACTACTTTGCTTCCAGGTGGCAATTTCCAGGTTTTAAAAGTGAAGCCAATGCTTCATGTGTTAAAGCTGCATTCTCTCTAATTGTCCATCAGGGGGTGACTCTTCTAGTTGTATAGAAGTTGATGAGAAAATGACTCTACTTCTCACTTGATTTATCACCTCGGTAAACTTTGTGAACATGAGTTTATGGGTCCATGCATGAAGTATAATTCATTTGCCATTATTCACGTTGTATAATGAACAATAGTGACTTTTATGCGGTGGAAAGTCATGATGTTAGCACTCTATACACAGCCCAGAGGATGAATTATACTTTGTGTACGGACCTTTTATGGCAGCGGTATTCAATTCAAATTCAACGAGGTCTAGTTAGAGAGAATTTCCTCATGTTTAACTTGTGCTATGATTTAGTTTCATATATATTGAAGTAGCCAGCAGTTGTATTAACGTCTGTACGTAGTCAACAACTGACTGTGAAATCAAATAAAGAAAGTTAAATTGTATAATATCTATAATATTTATTGTCAGTTTTCAAATTGAACTGGAGGAATTTTAAATAATACATAATCTGATAATAAATCCATGTTCTTCTCTCACTTCAAGTAAAATAAGGGCTGTATTTAAGTACTTCATTTTAGAAAAATGTATTTCACTGAATTGCCCTGCAGCTTTAAATTCAGTTCTTTCAGGGTGAAGTGATGTCAAACAAGAAAACATATTATATTTTTCCCATCTTCTAAAAAGAGAAATTAGTGAGCATGGACTTTCTCTGTGGTTATTAAACCATTTGTTTCAGCTCTATTCCTCTCTGTTAACATCATTGTTGGACAGTGAATTCATGTGTTAGCATTCTGATCATATTGGGCTCTTATGATTGTTTTTTTGTTATGTAGATACACACACATATATGTGTCTTCTACTGTGGACCTGCTATTTCCCCCTAAAGATGTGTCAGTGTCAAAAGATTTGTGCATTGTCTCTTTAGTGGTGCTTCACATTGCTGCTTTTAATAATCCTCATGTTCTCTGAACATACTGGTGTTAAACTGTCCGTGGGATGATTTACAATGCATGTAACTGGTCGGTGTGATTCCTGGACCACTGAACAAGTGCCGTAAAGGCTGCGCCGGTTAAAACAGAAGCGATCCGTCAAAATTTAATAATTCTCAATTATCTATTGGTGGTAGGTCCAGGGTCCAGATACATTGGCGTCTGGGTCCGGATTCGGATCCACCTATTAGTGACCCCTGGTTTATGGTCTCAATCTCTAGTTTCAAGTCTTCTTCAATACAGCATGATGTTCATTCACTAAATTATGGTCCAGTCAGAGTCAAATAGACCATAAAGCAGGGTATGCTTTAGGGCGGGGATACCTTGTGATTGACAGGTTGTTACCACAGCGTTGTCCAGTCTGGGAGTTGTCAGTTTGTGAAAGTTAATTGTAATTGCTTTGGTCGCCCTACACACTGGCCCTTTAATTCCAAAAATTCAAGTAATTCAATGTGAGACCTTTCTGTGTCTCTGTACTGGACCGTTCTCTACACTACCACTGTTACTAACATAGTTATGCATACTTGTGTGGAATCTGAAGTGTCTGTGTCCGGTTCATCTTCTTAACTGTGATGTTACCCCTGCTGTCCAGAGTGCTCCTGTTCTCCAGACGGGTCCCTGTCAAATATTTGTGACCCAATTACCGGCCAGTGTCCCTGTCGCTCCCACTTCCACGGCATGAACTGTGAAGTGTGTTCAAAAGGCTACTGGAAACCATCCTTGTCAGGACGCTGCCAACCCTGCGGCTGTGACCCCACCAGGTCATACAGTGATACCTGTGACCAGGTATGACCTCGACCCAGAAAGCGTGCTGGAATATTTTACTCAAGGACAAGTCAAATTTCTTCGAATAGATTATTAAAATGATGAAAAATAGAATGAGGAAAAAACGTTCTTAGATGAAAGTAAACTGTTACTTCCATGTTTCCAGGTGACAGGTCAGTGTCAGTGCAGACCAGGCTTTGGAGGCCTGACATGTACCGAGTGTCCAGAGAACGCATACGGAGACCCTCTCATAGGCTGCCGATGTGAGTCAGCTCTCTCTGATTACTCCGTTTATTGTTGGATTGGTGGGATGCAATACCTGTACCTCCACTGGAGGTCGTAGTTTAGTTTGCTGTCTCAGACATGCGAAAGCAAAGTTGACCTTGTGTCGTTTTTATCATGTGGTTTATGAATTTGGTAAGTACAATTGAACCTGGTTTGTAAATACCGCAGATTCACACACAAATCCCAGTTTAGCACAGTCTATTGACATCTCATTAAACCTGTTTGAACCAGTTGCATTCACAGGATAATCCTTAATACCTCTATTATGACATGACCCCAGTCTGCTGCATTGTGATTTCATTCAACTCTAAAGTAGGCCTCTTTATAAGTACTGTAATTGGGTAATTGGACATTTATTTCAGTGATAAATGAAAAAATAAACATAAAATGTCATCACTAAGATTACAGTTTTTTTTAAATTATAATACTTGTTGTGGTCAGTGTCTTGTGCTTGCTGCTTTGTTATTATAAAATTTAACAATTTTGATACAACTTTGTGTGTATGGAGGTAGAGCAGTCACATTATCATATTTTCACTATATTGTGGCCAAAATAAGTCACGATAACGATATAGTCATGATACCTATAGAAAATGTTAAGTTTTCAGTCAAATTCATCTTTAACTTTGTTAATTGTCCTTTTTCTCCTTTTTTAAGTAAATTAATTAGACTCAAAATACAAGTGTATGGAGGTGGAGAGAGAGAGAGAGAGTCTGTAATTAGTACAGCTGAAGATTGGCAGGAAAGGGACGGAGAGAAAGAGAAAGAGGGGGGAGTACATGCAGCAAATTCTAAAAGTGACCTATAGGATGGACAACAAATGTGTAAAAGAAACGTTGTATCAGTCATACGTTGATCCATGGTTAGCAGGTTAATGTTACAAATGTCTCTTGGCCCTATAGTTTAGATTTATTTTCTCCTCATCTTCTCGTCTCTTCCTCCACAGCGTGCCGCTGTGATGCTGAAGGAACACTTCCAGAAGTTTGTGACAAGCAGACAGGAGCCTGTTTGTGTCAGCCCGGAGTCACTGGAACTCGCTGTGACTCCTGCAATCGAGGACACTGTGACTCCTTCCCTGGCTGCGAGACATGTCCCTCCTGCTTCTTCACCCTGGACGCCCAAAGACAGAACCTCAGCTTCGCTCTGGAGAGACTGTCCCTCAGATTACCTTCTCGTCCTGTAGGTGATGGGGATCTTGGGAACTTCGGACCTCGCATCCGCGTCCTGGAGACCAGCCTGACCCTGATCCAGAACTCCATCTCCCTTCCACCCAGTGCTGCTATACAGATCAATGATGCTCTGTCCCAACTGGACAAGCTGAGGTGAGGGGCTGAAATTAAAAACACTAATTATCCTCATAAGCCTCCCATCATTGTCGTTGAAATGTTTTCTGATATTCATGAATATTATTGTCTTCTTGGATGAAAACTAGCTAATTTAGAGTTTTTTCTCTCAATGATGCCTAATTGAACACAGGGACCAGGTGGACAAGATTAACAATGACCTTTCACCCCTGGAGAAAGCTCCTGGTCTGGACTCAGAGCTGGACAGACTGCAGGCTCTGCTAGACCGCCTTACTCTGGACTACAAAGCCAAGAATGATGCAAAAGACAACTCTGTCAGTCAAAACAATTCAGGTCAGAGAGAAAAACACACCAATCACTGCTACACACTGACTTTTAGTGATGGATCATTGATTGCAACTGTTACTTTGGTGCATCACCTTCAAGTAGCATCACCTTCAAGTAGCTCTAAATTTTAAGTCTTATTAGAAATACATATATATTTCTAATAAGACAAAATATGGTGCAAGCACACATTAGAGACCCACTGACATCTTTAGGGGGAGACAGCGGGTCCACAGTAGAAGACACATTGAAGTGGTGTAAATCGTTTGAAAGAAGTGAACCTGATGATTCATTTTAGAGCTTCACAGCAGTGTGTGAAAAATTGTTATGTCATAAATCTGTAATTAATATTGTGTTTCTATTCAAATGTTGATAGTTGTGATAGTCAGACAAAATACACAGTTGCAAGGATCACAAGAGAATAAAGTGAAGTACAAAAATCCAAAAGTTTACAGAGAGCTTGAGTCACAAAAGACAAAACAGGCAGTCAGCGGAATAGTCACGCTGCATACAAAAAGGAATATACAAAAAACCTTAAAGAACTCACTAAGAATAAGCAAAAACAATGAAGCAAGCTCCAATCAAAATCCAGAAACAGGCTGAGGTAAATCACTAGGAACAAACAAACGCTGGAGCGCTAGTCTTATGCAACAAACTGAGAATGGGTAGTGAACAGCTAGGGCTCTAAGTACTGGGAGGTCTGATGAGTTAATGGAACACAGGTGAGCAACAAAACTGGTGGAAAACTAAACAATGGCACGAAATAAAGCAATCTAGGAAACACGGGCAAATTAATACAAAATAAAACAGGAAGTGAAATTAACAAGAGTCCATACAAGTTGTCACAATAGAGTGTAAAAGGTCTGAGAACATTATGATGGAAGTATGATGGCATACCTAGCTCAATTATGTCTCATACATTTTGGGGCTTATACCATTTGTTACACAGATTTGGTGCTAAATTTTACACTTTTGACCACTTACCACATTAAAACATCAAGAGCTCATCAAGAGCACCATTGAGAAAATCCAAGCTGTGATTTGGTATAAAAAACTTTTGAAATTTGGAGATTTCTGCAAGAGGGGCATTTTTTGGCAAGCACTTCTCAGAAACCTCCTTATTGTCAACATAGTTGATGGGAACAGCGTTCATCCTCTGAATGCCCCAGGTTTCAAGTTTGTAGTTATAAAGTTTCATGAGGCTGTGATTATCCAACAGGTCGGTTTATACAGAATAAAATCATCACACATGAATACAAATGAGCTCATTCGATCCACAAGAGTCTCAGGTTTTCAGTAAAATCTAATTTATGCAGTTCCAAGACCATTTAAGGACCCCAGTATGCAGAAATATTCAAATACACCATTTTTAAATTGGGCATTAATAACACATTTATTCTGCATGCAAATAACTGCATGTTTTTTACCCGGAGTGCATGTGATTATCATAAAGTGGAAATGTCTGTAAATGACAGATCTTCACTATGTTTCTCAAAGAGACCTTCTGAAATGGTGTCATTATAAAATATACTCATGTTGAGTTTTTCTGTCTCATTCAGGATCGTTATCTGCCATCAAGAACGCCTACGATGAGTCCACAGATGCAGCTAAGAAAGTGGATGCCAGCGGAAAGCCGCTGAAGGAGTCAGCTGATATTAGAGAAGATACTATGGACCTCCAAAACAAAGTACAGCCAGGCAACACCAGAGACCTGGACAAACTGAACCAGAGCATGGCCTCCCGACCCAATCTCACTCCTGTTGCCAAACAGGTAACTGCCAGGCCTCAGTTCTCCGACCTGATGCTGCAACTGCAACATATCATTTATCAGGGAGATAGATTATAGTGTCTTATGTGGCAGGATGAGAACTACAGCTTTGAAATGTGTTTCAGACACAAACATCTCCTGGATGTAATTTGTTGGGATAGGTTCATATTTAGATACAATTGCAAATGATTGAGAACTGTATCAACCCCCGATATCTAATGATTATTTTGTTAAATGGGACCCTAGCTTGTGTATGTCTTCTTTAAATATCCATCTGTGACTTTTTCTCCAGGTCTGTGGCAGTGTTCGCTTAGAGCCCTGCACCCCTCTGCAGTGTGCGGGCGGAGATCTGTGTCCACCGGACGGAAGCCCACCTTGTGAGAAGGGTGAGGTGTGTGTGGGCGCCATGCCTCTGAGCAAGAGGGCTGACGCTGATGCCAAGGATGTGAAAGACCGACTGGACAAGCTCACAGGGAAGATCACAGATGCTGTGGAGAAGGTACACACACGCTGTGATCTCTTTTGACTCCTGTTTTTGATGCTTTCAGAACAGTACAGGTTATTCTCAAACTGTAAAAACAAAATAGAGATTCTGAAGCTTTAATTTAACAATTCCTTACAGCTCCAGCAAACACAGGAGACAACCAACCAGGTGAGACAGTCTACAGAGAAGCTGTCCAATAAGATGAAGCAGGCCAGAGACGAGCTAGAAGACGACTTGAAAGAGACGCGTGACGTTGTGAAGGAGCTCAAAGATTTCCTATCAGGTAAAGATGGTGCTCTGCTGAGGGGACTGATAAATGAAAGGAAGGTTCACTTGGTTCCAGTAAAAATGGCTGATTTTAAATGGATTCATGAGAATCTTATCTTTGTATTATGTCTTTTCCTTTTACTGTGTTATTGTCTTGTCCTTGTTTGACCTGCCAAGGGACTGCAGATGCAAATTAGCTTAAGCTACAATCTGGTACAGTGCATCGAATGGTGACATTTATGTTGGTTGTTCCTTTGCCATTTGGCCTCCAACTTTTCCTGTTTCTGTCCGCAGACCCGTCCTCCAACCTGACCCATATCCAGGAGGTGAGCGACTGGATTCTGAAAGCCAAACTGCCTCTCAGCCTGGCAGCTCTGAAGAGGAAGCTGGAGGAGCTGAAGAATCTGGCGGCAAGTCTACCAGATAGCACATCTGTGTTGAAGGAGGCCGAGCCACAGCTGGACACAGCCAGGAAACAGCTGCAGGAGGCCCAAGACGCGAGGTGGGCCTTCACACTCCAGGACCGGTTTTCTGTCACTGATGCTTTATGCTGTTTGTCTCAGATAATTATCAGCTGAATAGTAAAATAATTCTGGGCATTACAGATATATCTAAATTTTTCAGTACACTCACTCATTTTTTATAATAGATTTTATAATGTGATATTTTTCTAGACATTTATTATCAGGAATAGACTTTCAGTTTATGTTTTTTTTGGAGGTGTATGGTGCGCTCCGTCAGCCTTTCTCTCCTCTTGACGATGACAAATTTGTTATGTCTCGTAGTGATGATAAAGGTCCAAATGATGTTAAAGATGTTTTTCTCTGGCTGCACATCCACAGGGATACAGCACTGGGAGTAAAAGCTGATGTGAACGGGTTGCTGGCAGGCTTCAACTCAGTGGAGGGCTCCCTCTCTGACCTGGAGGACAAATTGCAGAACAGCATGGATCTCATAGACAACTTGAACAACAACCTGACTGAGGTAGGAAGCATGGATACATCAGGCGATGGAAAACACAGTGGTCCATTCCTCCATATTTAAGCTGCTTGCCAAGCATCACTGAGCTGTTGTGGTTCTCCTCATGCAGGCCAAAAACCAGCTGAGCCCAGCTGAGAAGGCTCTGGATGATGCATCAAAACTGATAAAGCCAATGAAGCCTCAGCTGGACGAGCTCAAAGACCTGCTGCAGGATGGAGGCCTGTTGGCTCAGGATGCTCAGGATAATGCAGACAATGCTGATGATGAAGCAGCTGCTGCAAATAAGGTGGGAGACCTGCTGTACTAGTTTGAAATATGAACATTTACTTTAACAAGGAGCCAATTTCGATTGATTATAGCTATTGGTATTCTTCAGTGTCTTATACTGCAATGTAAAGTTACAAGAACTAGTAAATTAATACAAATATACAATAAAGATTTAAATAGCTGAACATTTAAGTGGTGAATTATGTTTATGATTGACTATAAAGGACAGTAAGTCATGTCCATTTTGCAGCGCATTTCAATTGCAAATATCTGCAAGTAACTGAAAGTGTCCTGGAAAACGATTTGTTCAAACATCTCAACTCATCTCAACTCTATTGAAGTTGCTTGATAGAGGCGGAGATTTAAAATGTGTGTGTGTGTGTGTGTTTGTAGGACCTGTTGTCTTTGGAGAAGCAACTGGATCGTCTTAAAGACGAGGCTCCAGCCAGTGGGTCAGGTGGAGGGGCGGCGCCATTGGGGGATCGACTGGCAAAGCTGCAGAAGGATGCTGGAGCTCTGGCCAACACCACTGACAACATGATGAATGCTCTGGAAGGTAATAGAGCAAAACCACACTAGATGAATTCCATTGACCGTCTAATGAGAAAGCTTCATAAATAAGTCTTCTTGTTAGGAGCACTAAAAGGAGGCAGAGGAAACTGATTTCTTCACAAATTATCTGAGTCATGTAATACTGTCAGGATATAGTGTCAGTCTGAGCAAATATGATTTTAAAAAGTATTTTTTATTTAGCACAGAGGAGGTGACCTTTGTAACATCAGCTGGAGCTATAGTCATGTGACAGCATGATCGGTGTCTTTATTAAATAACAGCTCACTCCATTATCTGATCTTTTCCCAGGTAAAGCAGATTCCCTCCGGGGGCTGAAGGACGAGTTTGAAACAAAGTCTGCAATGCTAAAAGGACTTGAGGATGAGCTTAGAGGATATTTGAAAACACTTCGAAGCAAAGCCAACGACCTCAGCACCTGTCAAGGTTGAAAGTCCCCGAGCCGCTGTCTCCGAGCAGAGCAGCGTCTACTATTGCTGTCACTGCAACACTTCATACCAGTCTCCCACACCATTCACTCCTTCTACTGGAAGAAAAACTCTACTCACTTTACTAAAGAGGGAATTCTGTCCTCTTCTCTAGCAGTTGTCAAAGAATTGTGGGAGATGTAGGAAGTTATAATGTGGGGTTGAAGAGGGAGGGGTTCAGAGTGGAACTACTCTCAGCCCAGTCTCCAGGAAAAAAAGTTGGCATTGTACGTTTCTGCAAATACATTGAATGTTAATGTTTGTTTTTGCATTTCGTCAGAGCAAGTGACATAGCATATCGAGCGACTGTCATTGACAACTATCAATGACATATTATACCACGTAACTACGTGGTATAATATATAGAACATAACAAGCGAGAAAGTCTGTTAAGGGTGCGTGGGATGAACAAACACAGGACTTTCACCAAGGTGATCGATGTTTGTGTCATGTGTGAAACCAAAAGTAAAACCTTGACTTTACGCTTGTAATGTAATGTAGGAAAGTCCGATAAAGGCAGTTGTTTTTTATGTACGCTAGTTACAATAATACGTAACATTACATTATTAGTTTAACACAAACCATGATATTTTTTGTAGCCTTAACCAAGTAGTTTTGTTTCCTAAACCTAACCAACATTTCACAATGTTAACCAGGTGGCATTGTGCGTTTCTGCAAGCGCGATACAGTGCTGACATGAAACCTATTTCTAAAACCTATTTTTGGTTCAGAAACGTACAATTCCAACATCTTTTTTGGTGACTGGGTTGTTTCTCATTGTCATAAAATAACTCCTGGAATATATTGAAAGTTAAAGGGGGGGGGGCTTCTGTAGGTTACATTTACAATCCGAAATCCACAATGTGTGTAAATACCTTTTGAATGTACCAATATATACATATATGTAGATATATACACATTCATACATACATATATACATACATTCATATATACAGTATATATGATATAATATCATCAATATTTGACAAGTGACATAGTGATTTTGTCAATATAAGCATTATAGAAAAAGACCACAGCTTCTGAATTTCTGACAGCAAAGAGACAACACAAACTTTTATTTGTCAGCAGCAATACACTCCACTGCACCACAATTATTGTATTTTTCACAGCTGAAAATGGTTGAATTAAAAAAGTTACATTATTTATTTTCTGTTTTTTATCCGTTGTTTGTGCAGGATCCACAGTATTGAAATAAAAGCCTGTTAATACTTTGTAAGCTTCATTGGAGATCCATTCAACACAAGAAGCATGACGAGTAATTACTACATACTTGCTGAGAAAATAATACAAAAAGAAACAAATATGTCACTACATTTGTGAACTCAGAATCTCTATGGCATCATTAGTGTTGACAGCATCTTTACACCAGCTTGTGGCACTTGATGAGCACAAGAGAGCAGCTTATGTATATGTCACAGAAAACACTGGGAGTCAATGACTCCACCTCCATGACTCCAAAGTAAAGTTTAATCTCATGAATAATAACAACCATCCTTCATCTTGGTGTAATAATAATACATGTCCAAAAATCTTCAGTCAGGTTCAACAGTCCAAACACTACAGTTAAAGGTACATTCCCTGATTTGGTTATAGTCTCCAGTGGTGAATATACATTCAGTATCTTAAAAAAGTTTCAGAGTCTAAAAAAGCTTATCAGCTTTATAAAAACCTATAAACCATCGGAATTCAAGGTTCAGCCATGTCAGTGAAATACGATGAAAACATTAAAAAGCTTTCACATTGCATATGTACCCTAAAGCTATTCAAAACAAATACATTTCAATGGTATTTAGTGACATGTTGACAATAGATAGAAGTGAATAAATGTCATTAGTGTGACACAGTTTATATGAATCAATGAATTCCTGTTTAATGTGGTGTTAATTACAGATATGCAGTCATTCCATGTTAAAGTGTTTTTATAGTGCAGATATGTTTTTATGTGTGTGTCTTGTCGATGGAACATGTGTTCTGCAGCAGAGAACCACAGCAGACATGAAAAAGCTGAGCAGCAGATGTGTCAACACCTTCATATCCAGAGGGATGCCACTGAGCGTCGTCAACTCAAGAGACAAACTAAAAAAGAGAGATTTTTGAAAATGTGTTATCAATTAGATGCAGGTCTGAGTCGGCAATTTGTATAGTCAACATCTAAATTCTGACTGAGAGAGATGACACTTTACCTGCATAAGATTCATCTCTGGTTAGCCAGCCAATCACATGACAGAACACACTCCAGACTGAAGCGGCTGGTCCTTCCTCTGAGACACAGCATTCATGCTGTGATACATCACACACAACCAGGATTATAGACACACACACATAAACGCGCAAAATACAACTGTCAAAATATCTCAACATATAAACAGACTTGAAAAGCATTTGAACAATAATTATATAATGTCATACTGGAGGTATATTATCCACTGCATTTAATGAAAATACAAATAATATGAAAATAATATAACCTCTTTATTTACTCTAATAGTTAATGATAAACGCTCAGAACCACTGGGCCAGGCGTTAAATCTATAGATTGAGGAGTGTTTTTTTACCAAAAGGTAATGTTTGTGGAATTGTTATACTATAGGCAATTCAATATCGCATACCTCTGACACAGACAGAGTAATAATCACTTGTGGGGTACCGATTCTAGGACCTAATTTACATAAATTATCTCCAAAATGCAACAGATAAAATATTGCCAATACTTTTTGCAGATAATATTAATCTCATAGTTTCACCATGAAATAGGCATATTTATGTCCAAATAAAAAATACATATGGAGAAATATTGTCATAGACTTTTTTCTCAGAATTCTGGTGAAGTTGCCCGATTTTCCAGCAGCTGGAGCAGGGCAGTAGCTCTCACCTCTTAGATGGCCTGAAAGGAGTGTCGATCTCTGAAAGGAAGTTATTGACCTCTCTTGATCCATCAACAGTGAGGGCGTTGCCAGGCTCACTGTGACTGGCTCTCAGTGGTGGACAGAGACATCTGCCCGACTCAGGACTACTGCAGGATAGATGATTGGCTGCATGAAGCGGATTCCCGTTTGGGTCGAGGGCATCAGCCCCGTGGTGGCAGGGTCCCAGTGCCTCCTGGTCATTCTGGGAGGCCTGTACTACTGTGATGTTGGGCATGAGGTGTGAGGGGGACGGCTCAGTGAGGGACAACTGCAGTTTCTTCATGTGGTGGATTACTGAGGCTGCGTTGAAGGCTTGCTGTTGGAAATGCCCATACAAAGGAAGAGGGTTATAATGGTGCTGCCTACGTACATCATGAAACTTCTGTCTTGAATCAGTAAGGACAGCCTGTCATGAACATGTCATGGTTGGCTTTATATAAAAAGTGACTGTGTCACTAATCATTGACTTGACCTCAATTCAATTGGTACAGTTTGTAAACAGTTTGTAGACACCCAAGTTAAATAGGGTAAAACATGTAACTAATAGATATCATCATGAAACTTCCCCTGTTGATTTATTACATTGAGACAATTATTTCTTATATTAAGTTTTCTGAAAATGTATGTTTGAATGAAGTTTTCTGAAAATGTATGTTTGAATACGCAAATGATGCATTGTCTTTTAAAATATGCAAACCGAAATGTGAACATTGAATGAAGCTAGGTTCAAAATTAACAGACATCAATCGACATCAGCCATATAAAAAATTCATTTTCTCCATGTTTTTAGTAATACAATGTTGTATAAATCATGTTATGAATGATATATGAACAAATCCCTCTGTAAAAACCTTCAGAACATAGAGGGGAATGAAACTTGAAAGTTTGGTGTATGTAAGAACTACTGAAGTGGAGACTTCTGGCTCAGAAATTTAGAGAAAACGGCCTTTAAAGATATACATTTTGAAGACACTACAGGTGAGTGGGTAAAAAAATTAAATAATAGATATCAACATGAAACTTCCCCAGTTGATTATTTACATTAAGACAATTTTTTTTCTGAAATGTTATGTCTAAATTTGCAACTGAGGCATTCGCTAATGCTATCTTGTTAAGGAAGCAAAATCCCAAACTCACAAAAATGCAAAGTAATCCACCTTGCCACTGTTTGTCAATCGGCTCAATATGTTTCAAATGCTCATATTTAGTTAAAATATGGCTGCATACACTGTATTTGTTTGTATGTTGCGTGATTAGCTCAGCTTATGTTGGTTGCCCATAAAAGCAAATGTGGTTGCAATATAAAGTAGTCCATGAGCCGACAGCAGTGTCTCTTACCTTCCATTTGGATTTGGAAAAGCTTCTCTCCAGCTGTTCACAGACAGACTGATAAATGTCCAGGTCTTTAGCTGTGTTTTCAGCAATCCTGCAATCAAGTCACTGACATTAGTTCATTTGGAAAACAAAAAAAAGACGTGTGTGTGCGTGCGTGTGTGCGTGCGTAAGTGCGTGTGCGCGTAACAAGAGAAAGGACTCACCATGGGTGTCTGAGTGCCTGCTCGGTGAGGAAGCGTTTCGTAGGGTTTTTCTCCATCATATTCCTGATGAAGTCTTTGGCTGTTGAGACATGGCATGCTCATCTGTTAGTGTCTGATTACAATGCAGCACTCGGACCTGCTGCAAGCATACAATAATACACATAATTCCATCTAAAGTATTTTGCCAAAGTTTATGCAATTTGAACTTTCAGACTGCAACAAGATACGGCAACAACAGAGCACCTGTGACTCTCCCCTAACTCAACTTGTAAATTTATCCTGAGGGTAATTGCAGAACGAATCTCATGCTTGTGTGTTTAAGGGATGTTGAAGCTTGGATAACAGCTGGTGTATAAAGGAGACTTTATTGTTGTATGGTGTTGTGTATTGTTGTACTTCTTTAAACAGTGTCTTATCCTTGACCCTTATGTGGATGAGATGACCTTCTGAAATTTTAGTTTAGTTTAAAGTTCTTAAAAAAGTCAAGTCATCTACAACAATAAAATAATATTTATATTGCTTCTTCACACCTTACATGGCATTTACTTTTGCTTATTAATTACTTATCAATTCATTAGTTTGCACTGTCCCAGTGTTTCCAGACATTTTTATGTGTTAGTCGTTCTGCAGGAGTGGAGGTATGTAACAGTAGGTGACAGCACTATGCTGATACTTATGCTTCACAACTGGAAGTAGAATAAGAAAGGAAAGTAGATCCTGCAATGTATGGTTTATGGTTTATGTATGGTTTTAAAATACTGAATCTATCTATTTTTCTCCTACATTTACTCATTAGGTTATAAGGACGTCTGACATGTTTGTTAATGCAAGCTCTCTGAATCCCTCAGGCGAGCGAGAACTGTCCTTGCCCATTTAGTATCTTTAGTTCAATTATATCTGCTCTAATGCAAACAGATCAAACCTCTGTAGCAGCGGGGGAGGTAAGTATGATTTAAGTAGGTATGCTGGTCTGTATTAGGTTAAGCTCTAAACACATTGTGATCTATACTTACTTAACACTGAGATTAATTATAGTAGTGACACTGTTTTTGTCACATTAAACAACCACAGCTGGATTTGAGTCTTTTAGACTTAAAGAATATTTCAAGTCCAGATGCATGCTGACTATATATGGTAAGATGACACTTTCTTTAAACTCTCCCTTTTTAATAATGCAACAGTGCAATGCACTTCATGGAACTTTTATAGAAAATAATGTGGTGCAAAGTAACAGAATAAATATAAAACTAGCTACTCAAACATTAACCTCATATGTGTTACAAAGACTACAGAAGCTCAGAATTTTGCAAGAAAAACTTGGTGGTATAACATGCCCCACCTTTTTGAACTTTCAACTCATCAAGCAGTCACATCTAAATTCAAATCAAGTTTAAGGCAGTACAGTGTCTTCAGCTGAGGTCACACTACCTGACCTGCTGTCTTGTAATCAGGAGTCTTGAAGTTGTCGTGGTTTTCACGCTACATGACAGGGAGTCACACACAACATGTCTCTAACTGTGTCTGCCTTCTGTTATTTTTTTGCTGACTGCATTTGCCTGCTGCATCTGAAAATGAAGCCTGAGAGCTAATGAGCTGGAACTCACTACTTTGTAAAGCCCAGGGGAGCTGCAGATTCAGCTGATAACTCTCTGTAAATTCAGCACTACAAGTGACCCCTTTCACATTGCAGCAGTGTTTGAATTTGATTTTGTTATAAAAATATTGATTAAAGCTGCTTTAGGTCTGGCCTAGGTCCTAGACCAGAGGTCGGCAACCTGCGGCTCGCAACATATTGGGCACCGAGTTTAAACTTTAACCGGCGCCTCTTATTCAGCCGGTACGGCACTTGTTCGGCGGTGCAGGAAACACACTGACCAATGCATTGCAAATCATATCACGTGATGCAGCTCAGCCAATCAAATATGGGTATTCTGACAAGTTTCCTGACTCGAGCGAGGTTTACACACACGTGACACACGGGGCTGAGACGAGGAAATAGAAAGAAAAAAGAGCAGGAAAATTGCGCTAATCTAAGACGTTATCTCACATGACGTTCTCCAAAAAGAGAAACGTGTTCAGAGAGAATATAATTTATAAGCAAGAATGAACAGAATCTTATATGTTAATTATTCCCACAGGCAGCTAAATCCTCTACCCCTGTCAAGCGCTTTTCCCTGCAGGTGGCTAATCATGATTTTCAGACCCCCGCCCTCTGTAAACTATCAATGGATAAATCCAAAGAAAGAAAAGTCACGGAGGAAAATAGAGAGTTTAACTCTGCGTGGACGTATTCATTTGCTTTCACTGCCAACGATGCTGACTTACCTGTATGCTTCCAGAACAAACACACAGCATGTGCTGAAAAGTGTCACGCTGGAGATGAGCGAAAAAGAGCGAATTCTCAGCTGCTGCAGCAAACTCTCCTCTTCATAAGAGTTTGATATTGTTATAACAGGTAAAATTGCAAAAAAAATGTCAAGAATTGTCTTTATTCTTGTTCTATATTTTCATAAATACAACAAACTATAGTTTTTGTATATATAATATAACTATATATACAACTTTATAAGCTGTGATATCAAATAGCTTTTGCGGCTCCAGACGAATTTTATTTGGTGGAAAATAGGGCAAAATGGCTCTTTGGATAGAAAAGGTTGCCGACCCCTGTCCTAGACCAAGTCCCAGTCATTTGTAATAGCGTCAAAGCAACAAATAAAATTGAGTACAATTCCCCCCCCAGAAAAGTCCAAAGGTATCAGATGTCAAAAACATTTCTGAAGACTGAGAAGTGAATTTTTTTCTGTTGTTTCCTTACCTGACTCAGATATGTCATCCCAGAAAGGTGAATGGAAGGCGTACTCAGCTCTCATGATCTTTGAAAACAGACGAGTCTCATTATCTTCAAAGAATGGAGGGTAGCCGCAGAGCCTGCAACACAGAGACAAGCAGCTGACTCAGCTAATCCAATGACATCCACCCTTTGTAAATCCTATATACATTTTTGATATGCTATAACTCCGGTTGTATCAAACTGATGAAAGAATTGTGATTTATCTACCAAAAAAAGTGTATGTCTTTACTGCATAACCTCAGGATTATAATTGAAAGTAAACTTTCAAATGTAAGCTTTTTGTGGGAAAAAACTGTTCCATAACTAATAGATCCCCTCAGTTGTCCAGTCTGTAATGCCAAATTATGAACAGCCATGTAATGTGCTTGTGGGAGGACAGAAATGTACTCACAGGATGTAAGTGATAACTCCAATGGACCAGCAGTCCACTGCTTTGCTGTAGGGCTTCTGGGCCAAAACCTCAGGGGCTGTAGAATGACACACAGTAATGATGCAGGTTAACAGAAAAAAATTTACTTTTACCATGGATGTCCTCTAATATTTATGTTTCTACTAACTGCCAGCTGCAAAATGCAACAGCATAATTACACTGTGAATCAGATTGCTCTGATCAACGTTTTCTGGAAACTACGAGATGATTTAGTCTTGAACATCTTAATATCTTTACTTGTATAAATCCCAGCAATGACAAATGATTATGTCACATAGACAATAGTATTAATCTTTAACACCTCACACAGAAGTTTTACAGTTTAAACACGACTGACTTTAACGTGTCATTATGACGATGTGTACTCACTAGCTGCTAATACATTTAAGCATTTGAAACATGAAGACGGGCAAAGGCAAGTACCCAGGTGTGCTGACACCTGGCATCGTAGACTGGTTCTAGGGACGTGGAACGTCACCTCTCTGGCGGGGAAGGAACCAGCGCTAGTGCGGGAGGTGGAGCGGTACCCACTGGATATAGTTGAGCACTCCCCAACGCAAGGCACCGGGTCTAGAACTAAATTCCTGTGTGAACGCTGCTGTGTTGGCCACTGAGAGGAAGGCTCTGAATGTTGATTGTGCTTATATACTGAACAGACTACCCGGGCTTCTAATAACTATTCAATAAGCATGCACACCGTATAATATAACTTTTCTATGATTCCTCATCACCACAGATAGACCACTTAAGTAACAGTGGATTGTAATTTACTTTTGAGTCATATATCCTTTTTAGTAGTGTCATTTAAATTAACAATTTTCAAGGGAGGGTTGCAAAAAACCTGTTGTGTATGTACAATAACTCACCAACATATCCTGGTGTACCACAGGCTGTGGACATCACACCGTGCTCCATCGTCTTAGACAGACCAAAGTCACTGACCATGATCTTAGCATTCTTATCTGCACTATAGTACAGCAGGTTCTCAGGCTGCTCAGAAACAGAGAGAGAAAGAGAGAGAGAGAGACAGAGAGAGAGAGACAGACAGAGACAGAGACAGAGAGAGAGAGAGACAGAGAGAAACATAGAGAGAGAGAGAAAGAGAGAGACAGAGAGAAACAGAGAGAGAGAGAGACAGAGAGAGAGAGACAGACAGAGACAGAGACAGAGAGAGAGAGAGACAGAGAGAAACATAGAGAGAGAGAGACAGAGAGAGACAATTATGTAAATGTAAAGTTTTAAGTAATTTAAGCACACAGTACTTTGGAAACATCTCTGTTTGAAAAGTATTTTATTGTGATGTGTTTTGGTGTTTTATCCAATGGGGGACAATAGTGTGTGTGTGTGTGTGTGTGTGTGTGTGTGTGTGTGTGTGTGTGT